CCCCATCTCCCCCACCTTCCCCTTCTCTCCCCCTCTCTTTTCTCTTTGCAGCTGCTCTTGTCCCCAGAGGCTGGTCTCCCCCCCTCCTCTTTCCCTTTTTTATGATCCCTTTTCCTAATAAAAAAAAAAAAAACAAAAACAAAACAAAACAAAAACAAAAATCCCTCTGCTTGAACCCTGTCACATGGCATCTTTCTCTAGCTGCTTTCCTTAAATTACAACACAGACTTAACTCATTTCCAAGTGACTTCAAGTCCCTCAGGCCCAAAGGTCAAGGTAAGTTAGGAGCTAAAGGCAGTAATTAAACCTGGCTTGGCAGTGCAGGCCTGTAAACCAACTACTTGGAAGGCTAAAACAGTGAGATGTGAAATTCAGTTTTCCTGGGTGACAGAGTGAGTTCAAGGCCAGCCAGGGTGTCAGAATTAAAGGTTAAACAACAAAAGAACTAAGGATACAGAACAATGAATGGTAAGAACACTAGAAAAAAAATGTAGCTAAAGGCACAGATTTCCCTGGAGAGTAAGGGGACCTTACACAGGCTGTTTGACCTCTGACCTTTCAGTGTCCTCAACTGCACAGTGAGAACCCTATCAGCACCCATGTCTTGCCACTGATTTAAGGACTCAGTGACTACAGCCTGTGAGGTGGGGCCTGAAAGCTGTCAGCTCCATGTGTCTTTAAACAGTGACAAGTAAGAACAGGAGCCTGCCCTGGGAAATCAGGATCCTTCAAAAGACCAGTCTGCCAAGCAGACTGCTGAGAGGCTGCACTCTGGGGCAGGATCTGGAATTGGGCCAAAGCTCTCAGCCTTCGGGAAACCATGAGAACATTTCTAACATTTCTAAAAGCATGGTGCATTGTGCCATATACCATACAGCCCCAGCACTTTCTCTCCTGACCTCTATTCTAGGTTCTAGGTAAGACATGGATAATCGTTCCCACATCAGAAGGCCTGCACTAATCCAGGTATAAACTTCAGGCTTTGTGGTCCAGCTTTGTGTTTCTGGTTACAGCTATTCAACTCTGCTATCGGAATAAGTCAGCTAGTTTCTTAAATGAATGCACGTCTGTGTTCCAGTAAAACTTTATTTAGCTCCAGTAAAACAAAAATGGGTGGCAGGCCAGGCATGGTAGAGCACACTTTTAATCCCAGCACTCAAGAGGAATGGTAGGTAGATCTTTGTGAGTTCAAAGGTCCTCATAGTGAGTTCTAGGTTGTTAATCTCATTGGGTGAGAATAAGAACACTAACACAATGGTTTTGGTTTTGTTTTTTTCGGGACAGGATTTCTCTGTGTAGCTAGCTCTGTAGACCAGCCTGGCCTCAAACTCACAGAGATCTGCCTGCCTCTGACTCCAGAGTGCTGGGTTTAAAGGCATGCGGCACTACTGCCCCAGTGCAATTTTTAAAAAAAATATAGCCAGATTATTGCTAATACCCAAATGGTTTGTATAGAAACAACAATTTTCTCTTAAAGCCATTATAATAACCTCCTTGAGTGCCCTATCATGTTGCAGAACTACTTTAACTACAGAATCTAGCTGTGGGTGGATCTTGGTCTATTTGGTTTTAACAGGCACTTTCCCTGGTATGCCAATAGGCACTATGCCTTGGAGTTTCCTTTTGACCTACCCTTCAGCCATTTGTTGAGAATAGGGGTGACATACTGTCTTCTTTTTGTTTTTGTTTTGAGACAGGGTTTCTCTGCATTGTTTTGGAGCCTGTCCTGGATCTCGCTCTGTAGACCAGGCTGGCCTCGAACTCACAGAGATCTGCCTGCCTCTGCTGGGATTAAAGGCATGTACCACCAACATCCAGTGGTTTGCTCTCTTCTCTAAGTACTTCCTGTTGCAATTGGGGCATTGTTGTCAGGGCCCAGGAAGGCTGGAATGTTGGTCAAAAGGCAGAAGGGATTCAGGTAGGGGGTTATTTACTAGAAACATCTGGTTCACAGACCCAGGAAGAGACAGGGAGCAATCACATTGGCTGAATTAGTTCACATCAGCTTTCAACAAGTCCAGGGGTCACAGCTATTTGGAGCAGTTTGTTGTCAGTAGTCAGAAACTGATTCCTTGATGGTGTCTGTCAGCCTAGTACAAATCTGTTGGGGCAGATACATATCAAGGACAGGAATCAAAATTTAGGAACTTAAAAGAAATCTTACATTTGGAGACCACAGCCCTGGTAGTTGTGGGGAGGAGAGGAGTCCCAAGACCAGGGGAAAGAGAGAGACCCCACCCTCAGGAACAGGAGGTAGGGAAACTTGGGCTGTAGTTACCTGGGGTCCTTTAACCTGTGAGAGGTGGATCCAAGTCTAACTCAAGTTTATGTGACACTTCAGTTTGCAAAAAAGGATACAAGTTTTAGCTGAATTAACCTCACCATTGTTTGTAATCTGTACTGAAATCTACATTGTAGAAAAAGTAGCTAACAGGTATCTGTAAAACAGCTGGAGTAGAAGGAAGCCTCTGAAGCAGGGCAAAAGCTATGGCTTTGGGTTAAAAAGCATGAAAATGTTTTCCTCTCTTCAGAGGGTTGGATAGAGATGAGGGTTGGATGATTAGCCCCATGAGAAGCACCTTTAAATCTATACTTAGATGACAATCAAGGGAAATTTAAAATAGTTTATAAGAATTCCATTGATTGTTAAAACTCTAAAGTTTTTGAAATCTCAGTATAATAATAGAATAGAAAGGGAAAGAAATCTGAAATCTGAAACTTTTATTACAACTTGCATTTCATACTTTAATTTTTTTTTTTTTTTTTTTTTGGTTTTTCGAGACAGGGTTTCTAGCTCTGTAGACCAGGCTAGCCTTGAACTCACAAGAGATCCATCTGCCTCTGCCTCCTGAGTGCTGGGACTAAAGGCATGCACCACCAACGCCCAGCTAAAATATTTTCTTAGACCCTCAGACTTTATATAAGTTTAAACCTTTTTATTTATTTATTTATTTATTTATTTTTTACAGGTTCATCTTTTTATTGGACATGTTAACAAGAGGCTTAGTCAAAAAGACCAAAACCCATGTCATCATCAGACTCCTCAGATTCTTCCTTCTTTGCTTCCACTTTCTTCTCCTCAGCTGGGGCAGCAGCGGTAGAGGGGGCAGGACCACCCGCTGGTGCAGCTCCAGCTGCTGGAGCAGGTCCACCAGCCCCTACATTGCAGATGAGGCTCCCAATGTTGACATTGGCCAAGGCCTTTGCAAACAGGCCAGGCCAGAAAGGTTCAACATTGACACCGGCTGCTTTAATGAGGGCATTGATTTTATCCTCCGTGACCATCACCTCGTCGTCATGAAGGATGAGGGCGGAATAGATACAGGCGAGCTCAGAGACGGAGGCCATGTTGCAGACTGCCGGCACGGTATTAGTCGCCGGATGAAGTGAGGGCCTTAGCTTCCTCGGAAGAACCTAGCACCTTAGCGGCAGCTGAGGAAAAGTCTATTTATTTATTTTTTTAAGTGGGTATGGTGGCACACTTAATCCCAGTACCTGGGGGACAGAGCCAGGCAGATCTTTGTGAATTCAAGGCCAGCTTGGTCTACAAAGTGAGTTCCAGGACAGCTAGGGCTCTGTAACACAGAGAGACCCAGTCTGGGAAAAAAAAAAAAAAAAAAACATATATATTCTAATAATTTACCATGAGACACAGGTGGTTAATTACTGAGCCCAGTCATTGCAAAGCAAGTTCCTTTAAATAAAAGAATAAAAAGTTTCATCTGAAACCTGTTTATCCTTTAGTATGAAGCCTGTCAGCAAGCCAAACCTGTCTGCCTCTCTCATCAGGAGAAATAGTACTTCTAGAAAAAGACTTGGTTTTTACTTATGAAATAAACTGACAAAGATAGCTGTAGCCTTGGGGAAGGAGCTGGTTTCAGCTGCAGCCAAACAGACAAAGCTACATGCAGTTAGTCTAGCCATCAACACCTGTCAGAGATCTGAGAAGGATAAATTATAGCAGGAAATATAAACCCAATGACCTCTGTATTGATTAAAATGACAGAGATTTGCCAACTACCTGGACAATAACCCTAGCAGGCTCTGTGATCTCAAAGGCTTCATTGTGGGGCAGAGGTGATCTTTGGCTGTCATATCTTCAACTGTTGTATAGGACAGCACAGGCCTTCGGCTACCAGACCCAGAATGTTTGAGAGATTTTCTTGTGGATGAGGAACTTAGGAAAATGTTTGTGCAGTTTGTGCAGAGCTCTGACAGCAGGTAAGGCATGGGCAGTATTTCCCAGTGGTTTGTGCCACCAAAATCCAGTTCTGTGCCCCATCTGTGTTTTATCTCCAGGAGCTAATATGTCTGTCACAGGAAGCTTCTTCCATTAAACATTTAAATGTCATATTAGGCAGCTCTCTGAAAAAGTTTTGAGAGCCACTTATTAAGTGTACCTGCTTTTTAAGTAAACTTTACTTGTTAGTTATTTGCTTTAGGCTTAACCTTGAAAACACATACAGGAAGCAAAATAAAATCTATATCTATAATTATTTACACTAATACTTAGCATGACTACAAGTATAGTTCTGAACACACTAAAGAATTAGATCATTTATGATTAAGATATACAAATTATCAGCCACCTTATTTGTAAGGTGACTGATAATTTGTATGATAATTTGTATATCTCAATCATCTTTAACAGTTTACTATAACTTTTTAGCTTTTATAACTAGAATTTGCATTTTTGCCTGGTGCTGGTGGCGCCCCCTTTAATCCCAGCACTTGGGAGGCAGAAGCAGGTATATCTCTGAGTTCAAGCCCAGCCTGGTCTACAGAGTGAGTTCCAGGACAGCCAGGACTATTACATCGAGAAACCCTGTGTCTCAAAAAACAAACAAACAAACAAAAGAGAGAGAGAGAGAGAGAGACAGAGAAAGAATTTGCATTTTTGTTCCTGTTAAGTTTAGCCTTTAAAAAGAAAAATAACAATTTTTTAATTGAAGCTTTTTCAGAATCAAAAGTTTAAAACATATACAGCTTAGGGGAAACTGGAAACTACTTTCCTGGTACTTTCATAGTATACTATTGCCAAAATAAATAAATAAATAAATATTTTTAAAAAAATCACACTTTCTTGAATATCTCAGTTTAACAAAGTTAGAAAAGAAGGATAGACATAGTTCTTAAGTCAGTCTCTGTTAGCCTGAATAGACCTTGGGTAAGGAGAAACTGTCAGATTGCTTAGATCATTGCAGCGTCTTAAGATAGGAATATACCAGGTTCTGTTGTTTAGTGTTTGCTGCTCACCAATTTATTTTTATTTACTTTTATGGTTTTTTTTTGATTGTTTGTTTTTTGAGTTAGGTTTTTCTCTGTAGCCCTGGCTGTCCTGAAACTTGCTCAGTGGATCACACTGGCCTTGAATTCAGACATCTGCCTGTCTCTGCCTCCCAAGTGCTGGGACTAAAGGTGTGCACCACCACCTCCCAACAGATTTTCATTTTTTTGTGAAACTCCAAGATTTCCTTTTAAAGATTAAAAAAGTCTCTAAACTGTGGGCTCCTGAAATATTAAAACTGAAGTACCCATTTTTACTTCAAGAGGGAAGAAGCAGGGGTACAGCCACAGTCTGGATAAGGCAAAACCAAAGTTCAACAGTACAAACAGCTGGGTGCTCAATAACCGGGGTTCACCCACAGTCCTCTGAGCTTCCCCAGGGGGCCCAGGTCACCTCTCTGGCTCCACCCTTGGCAGGACACAGCCTGTTTTCTCAGCTCCAGCAGGTTCCATTTCATTGTGACTGCTGTTCCCAGTAGCCCTCACTTGTCACCAGCATCGACAAAAATGGTGGGGTCCCTCTCCTGGGTTCTCTTTAGAAACTCTAGGCCTGCCACACAGAGCCAAGTCTTAGCTGCTCTTTGTGACCCCTTCATGCCTTTAAAACCAATTCTTTTACTTATTCATTTATTTTGGTTCTTTTGAGACAGAGTCTCTCTGTGTAAACCTGGCTGTTCTGGAACTCCCTCTGTAGACCAGTCTGGCTTCCAACTCAGAGATGCACCTGCCTCTGCCTCCCAAGTGCTGGGATTAATGGTATGTACCACCACTTCCCAGGTTTATTTTCCCCCCAAGACAGGGTTTCTCTGTAAAGCCAATAGCCTATTTTTTAATTATCTATCTATCTATCTATCTATCTATCTATCTATCTATCTATCATCTATCGATCTATTTTAGCTGTTTTGTTTTTCCTCTCTTTTCCCTGTCACAGAGTCAGGTGGATCATCTAACATAGCCAGACAGGAAACTTTTAAATAAGCATGCTTTGGGTCTAGAGAAGGGAGAGCCATAACCCAACCTCAGAGCCAGCTTTTCAATAAAGTAGAACAGCATAAAACAATTTTAATATTACCCACACCAAACAAAGCTTTTGAATTCTTGCTAAATTGAATTCAGTGACCAGAAAGCTCAGAGATAAATTCTGACCCCTGGCCATCCAAGCAGCCAGGGCAAGTGATATTAGCTGTGGTGACTGGCAACAGCAGAGACAGCAAAAACAAAACCAATAAATACAGAACACATGGAGTTCACATTCAAAGGAAATCATTCAGAAGCAAGCATTCAGAAGACACAATCATTCATGCCTCCATCTGAGCCTGATCCATTCTCATCTCAACTCCCATGTTTGCAGCAAAACTTCTACAAAGACAAGACAAATGAGAACCTCAGGTGAGTCCTGAAACATCTCTTCTTTGGTCTGGATCCCAACAGAAGCAAATGTCTCAGAAGGTGACTATGACTTCCTGGAGGGGGTCTCTGTAGATGTTGGCTGCTTCTCTCAGCATGGTAGCTCACTCAGATAGTCCACAAAATAAAAGCTTACCTTAGAGGCTTGCAATGTCCCAGAGTGAAGGTCCAGCTTCAGATTCTGGTGGGTGGTCTGATCTTGCTGGAGTCTCCAGGAAATACTAATCCCACCGGTTAAGAATAAGAGCACTATCATTTTTGAGTCAAATTTGAAGAGAGCTTTATTGAATACTGGCCAGGATGATGGACACTCACCAGGTCCATACCTGGGATTCCCAGATTATGGCATCAAATTAGACAAGGGAAGGCACGACCCACAAGGTTACATACTTCCCACCTTTGTGCAATCAGGGGCAAGCATATATCTGATATACTTCCTGCCTACATACTTCCTACCTATGTGTGATCAAACACATCCTGTGCTGTTGGAGCAACCAAGCTTGTGTACAGAAGCAAAAACATGTGGCTTGTTATCTTACATGAACAACAGCCCCCAGCATTCCAGGAAATTATCTGTTCTTAGGCAGATGGGACTTTTAGGTGAGAGATATTTTTGTTTTATAGATCTCTTAAGCATAGTAATTTAAACTTAAAATATAACGTTAGCTACAACAAGGCCAGCCAGGGAGTCATAGTGAGACCCTATATCAAACACACACACACACACACACACACACACACACACACACACACACACACACACAAAAAAAAAAAAAAAAAAAAAAAAAAAAAAAAAAAAAGTAGGTGGTAGACCAGATTTAGCCTGGAAGCCATAGTTTTTTTGTTTTTTTTTTTTTTTTTTCTATATGTGATCAATAAAGACACAGGAAAGAGTGTATAAAAAATTTCTTTAATTTAAAGTTGTGACCTGGAAAGAACAAGTCAACTTAAGTAATCTAGGCTTCCTCTTTACACACAAATGGAACACATACAACATTGGCTCAGATTTTCAACTCCAGAGGAGAACCAAATGGGATCACAAATCAGAACCCTCTGCAGCAACCCTGCTGGGGCCAACAGGCTCCAGGGGGGAGGCCCCTCTTCACTACCCTCTCTGTATCTGGTGTCATATATGCCTTCTTGGAGAAGGGGACAGCAGGTAGCCACCTCCTGTCTCCAGGGGGTCTCTCCCTGGGAGAACAAGAATGTGCTAAGCATCTCAGTGTGTGCATGCCTAGAAGGGCAGCTTGACTGAGACCTGGAACTACGTTGTAGCTACTGGTCATAATTGGCCCAGTTATGGCAGCAAAATGGCAAATAGGATGTTGATGTGGGGAGACTAAGGGCTTAGCACTTAACTGCAAGTTTGAAAGTGATACAGGCAGATCCTGCCTGCCTAAGTTTTTTGTAAATGCCTCAGAGAGAAGGTGGAAAGACAGACAAGTCCTTCAGCCCTCTGAGGCTATCTATGCCCTGCTACAGCACAGAATTAAACCGGCCCCATTTTCCTCTTACATTCAAGGATAATCCTTGTTTTGGATTCACTTAGCCAGTTGTGGATGGAGGGGGTGTGTGTGGGGCATCTACAGGGCACCAGGCACTGAGTAACAGAGCAGGGGAGGGGAGTGTCAGGGTGGGATGCTGGACAGGGCTCTAATGTGCACTGCATGTCAGATATGTGGTCCAGCAGAGAGGAAAGAGTGTGGCCACAGACCCTGGAACCTTCCCAGAAAGGGTTCAGCTATAGAATAAATACAACTGGCTAGAAATGAGCTTTCTGAAAAAACTACTAATAAAATAAAATAAAAATTAGAGGTTCACCTCAAGTGCACTGCAGCAGGGAACAAGACTCCACAGGGTTTGCTTTCTAATACAGACAGCACCTGAAGCCCACCCATGTCAAAGTCCGGGGATGGGGTAACCACATAACAGCTACCTAGAGGTATCATGGAAGACTAGAACATGGCCAACCCCTTCCCACCAAACAGCATTCCTGAGCCAGGCTTGCTGTATCCGACTCAGGGCATTTCCAAGAGCTGGGCTGTGACTGGATGGTTGTGGCACACAGCTGTAGGGACAGTCCCTGAGGACGGAGGCAGTGGGGAAGAGGGCTGGGGCTTCCCAGTGGCACTGGGAGACATTCTCATGTGGACGTTATTGCGTTTCTGCCAACGACACTGGCAGGATGGCACCAAAATAGATGGTGCACCTGAGGTGGGGCAGTCCATTGAAGATCCTGTGCCATGACATAGCCCCAGTGAGAACCAGTCTGTCCTTAAAGTTGTCCTGGACTGAGTCTGGGTGATGTCTCAAGCCTTAGATCATGACAAATGTCCCATTATCAGCACACACACTCCCAGCTAAATCTTCCAGATTTCAACAAGGTAGCCCCAGAAGTTGAAGTAAGAGAGAGTGGGTTCCAGGGGCCCAGAGATTTCCTTTTCCCACCTCCTTCATTGCTCTCAGACTAACAAGTCCCAGCTATCCATCCATTCATTCAAGAGAGCTACCCACATGGTCCACTTAAAACCACTCACAGAAACCACTTACAAATCCACAGAAGTTTCCTTCAATCATGGAAGATTGGACCCTTGCCCTCACTGGATGCTGTTGTCTGGCTGTCCATTCTGGGCCACCTGTCCAGGGTCAGGGTCAGGCACTGGGGCTGGGGTGGGTGTGTTACTCTGCAGGTAGCGTCGGAAATCTTTAATCATGGGCCGGAGGACCTGGATGAGGACACTCAGGGCTGCCTGGGTGCCCTCCATGGCCTGGGCCTGCCGCTCCTGGGCACAGGCCTGCACCTCCTGGGAACGCCGAATCATCTGTAGCAGGTCATTCTGCTGTTCCAGGTGCTGGGCAATCTCCTTTATGTGTAGGTTGGTGACCCTCTGCTCCTGGATCAGCTTGGCAGAATTGAGGGCAATGCGGCTCTTAAGTGCCTGTGGTTTGACAGATGCATCTGCATGCTGGGCTATCATTGCCACGGGGGCCTCGGTTGGCAGGGTTTGAGGAGCCTCGGCTGTGCAGTACTCCACCACTCCCTCCTCCAGTGTGTGATAGGTGGTCTCAGTGGGGACTGTCGAGAAGAAAGAGTAAAAGCAGAAGCTGATCATCTTTTGGAAGGAATGGTACTGGTTCTGCAACATAGGTAGGAAGCCATTAAGCCCTGTGTAGCAGGCAGGCAAAGGGGAATTCAGGCCTCCCCTCGCTGTATTGACATAAAAACACAGTATCTGAGAGGTTCAGCTCTCTTTGTTCCTCAAGGCTGGGATGGAACCCAGAACCTTGTATATGCTAAGCATGTGCTGTACCACCAAGATCCTTCTTCAACCAGGCTTCAGGATTTTACTCTATTGGTAGCCAAAGAGAAGCCCCCCAGATCTGACAAATATAGAGATGCCAACAATAATGCCAGCAAAACCTTGGGATACTTATGTATCACTCTGTATTCATTAGCTCAAGGAATCCTCCAAATGACAAGAGTTAGAAACTGTCTTCAGTCTCAGAGAGGATGAAATAGAGCAACTTCTCTGGGTGGCTTTGAGCTGTCTATCCCTTCTTTGTGCCAATCAAAGAAGGAAGGGCCATAGCCGTTCACATGACCAGAACATGCCTCTCTGTCTCTTTAATCACTTTGGTTCTTAAGATACCCAAACATCCAGCCTGGTAGTGGTGCACATCTTTAATCCTAGCACTCAAAAAGCAGAGGCAAGTGATTCTCTCAGTTCAAGGTTTGCCTAGGCTACTGATTGAGTTCCAGGACAGCCAGAGCTACACAGAAAAACCCTGACTCAAAAACAAAACAAAACAATAAAGCCTCCCCCCAAAAATCCAAAACCCTAAAACATCCTCGAAGATTCTGTTCCAGAACAGTACCTGACTTGGACCTGTGCTTTTCCTTCTCTTCCTACTTCATATGAACTGGGGAAATAAGCAGGGGAGAGCACACTCCCATACACTATTAAGAGTCTGGTGGACACAGTTCAAAGCCTATCATGACCCAGCAGAGTTTACAGTTGTGGGCACACATCCTTATCTCAAACACAAAAACCTAACCAAAGTTAGCTCTGTTATCACTCACTGCCGAGAACCTCCGAAGGGATATTAGGTGTTTGGACCTTCATGTATGTGGGAGATGTCAATCTTGCTTATCTTTTCAAAACTTGTTATGTTCATATATATGTAGGTACACATGTGTGTTTGTGTACACATGGAGGGGAACAGAAGATAAACTCAAGTGTCATTCCTCTGATGCTGCCAACATCTTTTCTGTTTTCTTTGTTAAGACAGTCCCTTTACTGGGCTAGGACTCTCCAAATAGGCTAGGCTGGCTTGCTATTGAGCCCTAGGGATCCATCTCTTGAATAGTAAGGTTACAAATGTGTACCTCCACCTCCTATTTTCCCTACCTTTGGATGCCATCAACTGTGTTCCCTTGCATCAGGAAAACCCTTTCCTCTTGTGAGTCATTGGGTTTTCTCATCTCATAGACATATATACCCCATCTGCTCTAGTGGTATATTTAATTTCTGTGGTGCCAAGCAAGTACTCTACCACTGAGCTATCTCCCCAGTCTCCAGGGAATATTAAATACTTTGGTATTTTTGGTGCCCAGCATAAATTTCTTGATGAATGGGTGACTAGATAGGAACCATGAAGATTCTGAGAAGTGCCTGGTGAATGTTTGTGTATTGAAAACACAGACTATCTTTGTGCAGAATGGATGTCTCCCTTGGGTAGTATTATTCCTAGCCAGTCATTCAACAAGTACATCCTGGTTGCCTACTAATATAGCACATCCTAAGTCCCATGGAGCTACAGAAATAGTCTTGTCTTCAAGACTACATAGGTCAGCAAGTGGAAGTCATGGGCATCCAGCTTTCCACATGCAGAGGAAGTCCCCATAAGAACAAGATCACTTCTGTTTGGGGAGTTCTTGGAAGGCCTCATGGTCTTTCAAGATCGCCATCTGACTTTTGACCCTTGGCAGCCAATTTGCCCCAGCACTTGTTGGCCCTTCCCATTTACGCAGCTGAACTGAGCAGGAGAGGTCACTCACTCTGTGTCAGGGTGACCGTGGTTGCAGCTGCCGTGGCCGTGGGTCCGAGGGCCACAGGATGGATCTCCGTGGTACTGGGCAGGCTGATGATGGTGGCCTCACCCAGCAAGTTGCAGATGCGCTGTTGCATAGGCGTCAGCAGTACAGGAGCTATGGCTGTGCCACTGCCACCACCTGTCCCAGGTCCACCAGCTCCATCCTCTTCTGTGGTTCCTGGGGCCTCGCCACCTTCTACAGCTGCTCGGACTTGGGCAACCTTGCGACGGACCTCCGTCTTGAGGTCGGACCACTTCTTCTTAACTTCGGGCAGCTCCCTGCGGCAGGTGGCCACAGCATTGACTCTTCTCAGGATGCCATGCCAGGCTGCACTCTTGGCAGCCAGAGGGACCCCAGCATTGAAGTGGTTCACCAGCAGGTGCTTCTTCAGCTCTAGTTCTTCCACGATGATCTCTACCTCCCGCTCTGAAAAGTTCATCTTCCTCTTCTTGGCTGGGACAGCCATGGCCTCCCCTTTCCTCCCTTTTTAAAGAAATTATAATGTCCTTAACAACCCCAATTTTTTTCTCTTTTTCAACCTCACTTCTCGCCCACTTCCCAACCCCCTCCCCAAAGGGGGACAGACAGGGTTTTCTCGAGGCCAAGCACGAGGCCCCAAGTAATCCCCCTCGCTACGCAAAATGCGTAGGGCCCAGCCCTGACCGGCCCGACCGCCGCCAGCCAGCTGCGTAATGGCTTCCTGAATCTGCCTCTTCCGCTGGGGTGTGCGGAGATCCGCCCACTTCCCTTCTTCCCGCCCCTCGACATATCCCTAGGAAGCCCCGCCCTCCAGGTTGGCGTGGCTCAAATACTCCTCCGATCACTGGCTCTCCAGGCCTGCCATTCCTCTCAAAGACACACCTATTTGCTAGAACTAGCTTGGTCATTGGTCTAAAGAGGTGCCTGTCGCTTCGGGCGCCCGCCCACATGTTCTTTATTCACTTCCATTGGGAAATCAGTCTGTCGTTCAATTGTTGGTATCGCGACTATTACGTTGTTAAATTCAGCTATTTTATTGGTAGTTTAGAAGACGACAAGAAACCGGCCTCCTGATTTTGATTCGTGTTTTCGGTCTTGAGTCGTCAGCCATTAAATTTTCATTTTATTCATTGGTGCTAAGTGTGTCTTCTAACTTCAGTCCACAAGTTGCTCTCATACAAATGTCATTTCCACGGATAGGTACGATCTCTCTGTACACAGCCGCTCCTCCCAACCTCATCATTCCGCAGTCTAGCGTTTCTGAATGGGAATTGGACACAGGGCCTCCGGCTCGCATATTACCCAGATTCAGCCAATCCCCGCCTCTCTCAGTTTGAATCGACTCAGAGCCAGCGTGGTGGTCCCGCCTCCTCATTGATCCCAGAGTTGCCATCCCAGCCTGTGATTGGTCGGCAGTGTGCCAGGGGGCGTGGTCACCTCCTCTGCGCGCGGCGGGGCGGGGTTCCCGGAAGCGGCCCCTCCCTCCAGCCTGCCGGCTTCTCGGAGCCCGCGCTCGCCGCCTGAGGGAAGCCGGCGTGTTTCCGCGCTCCGGTCGCCTGCCTGCCGCCCTTAGCCCCGCGTCCGGCGCCCCCCGCCTCGCGCCCGATGGTGAGCAGTGTGTTGTGTCGCTGCGTGGCCTCCCCGCCGCCGGACGCCGCCGCCGCCGCCTCGTCGTCCGCCTCGTCGCCGGCTTCTGTAGGGGACCCGTGCGGTGGCACCGTGTGTGGCGGCCCGGACCACCGGCTGCGCCTGTGGAGCCTCTTCCAAACTCTCGACGTCAATCGCGACGGCGGCCTCTGTGTCAACGACCTGGCGGTGGGGCTGCGGCGCCTGGGACTGCACCGCACGGAGGGCGAGCTCCGGGTAAGCTTGCGTGCGCCGTCCGCGCGGGCGGGGAGGATCCGGTGGTCCTGGAGAGAGACCCGTGTCGCGGGGGACGGACCAGGATTCCAGGGCCTCTCAGGCAGTCCTCTGGAGTTTGTCAGGTTTGGGTGGACGCTGCTGGAGCTAAGCGGAACCCCTGGTGTTGGGGGGGGGGGATAGTGTTCCTTGATTGACAGATGGAAAGGACACTCACCCGGTATTGAGCGTGGGGCTCCCCAAGTGGGGGCTCAGGCAATGAGAAAATCTCGTCTGGGTACAAATGACCACACTTGAGTGTCTTTGATGGGCAGAAAGCCCCTTCTTGTTCCTACTTTCATTAGGGCATAGGACAAATCTCAAGAATGCCTTCCGGACCTCAAGGCCAAGTTGGTGCCAGCCCTGCCCCCACACCCAGGTTCCTATCCATCCATTCTTATTGGCACCCCACCCACTTTTTTCTCCCTGTGGTTTCCATGCCACCGGGGCCCCGATCTCGTTGCTCGCAGAAAGTTGTGGGTGTTGTGAGGAAGAAAAAATGGGAACTGGGGTTCTAGGCAGATGTATATGGATGTGGGTGGTGAGAGCTGAACAGTTCTTTCTTATGGTGTAGGCCCAGCCCCCCACTGCTGTTCCAGAACACTGGGTCATGTGGAGTTGGAGTGTAGATATGTGGAAGATTCTGTTTTGTTTTGTTTTGAGAGAGGGTTTCTTTCTCTGTGCATCTCTGGCTGCCCTGGAACTTTATCTGGTAGACCAGGCTGGCCTTGAACTGACAGAGGTTTGCCTGTCTCAGCTTCCCAAATGATGAGATGAAAGGTGTGTGCCACCACTGGCCGGATTGGAACATTTTTTTTTTTTTCAGAAAGTGAAAGTGTGGTACATCTAAGGGTATAGTTGAGTGGAGTTGGATGGGCCAAATCCAGGAGACAGGGGCCGAGAAATGGCCATCATTGGGTCTGTAAGAAACAGAAATGTTGTCCTTCCTGCACAAGGAGCAGTGGCCTTTTCTTCTCTTTCTGTTTCATGGTTGATATTTCTGTTTGATTAGATGTGGTTGCCCTTTACCATCATTATCGTGGCCTAGCCTGGTATGCAATCTGTTAGGTTCTACTGAGCAGTTTGTCTACTAACCTGTTTTTTTCCAAAGTTTGTGTTTGGTTCATTTGTATGCAGTTATTAAATCTCATAGCCAAGAATGAAGAAAACCTGGTAAGGTGACAGTGAATCATGATGGTTGCTTGGGTGGCCATACAGAAGGTGTCAAGTCCAAGATAATCTTGGCTCATTATCCAGGATATTTAACCTACTTAGGCAATGTAGGAAGCCCAAGGACAGCACTGTAATGCAGAATCCTTGAGTTAAGCCCAAGAGATTTAAAGATAAGGTTTCCTTATGTAACCAGGTTGGCCTTGATCTCACAATACTCCTAGCATTAAAATGAAAACCAAAAACCTTTTTTTAAAGAAAGTTTGTTTTAGCCGGGCATTGGTGGCTTGCCTTTAATCCCACCACTTGGGAAGTAGAGGCAGGTGGATCTCTGAGTACGAGGCCAGCCTGGTCTACAGAGTGCCAGGACAGGGTCAAATGCACAGAAACCCTGTCTCAAAACACAATAAATAAATAAATAAATAAATAAATAAATAAATATTGTTTTAGAGTTAGTTGGCTTGGCAGTTAAGAGCACTAGCTGCTCTTCCAGAGGTTCTGAGTTCAATTCCCAGCAACCATATGGTGGCTCACAGCCATCTGTAACTAGATCTGATGCCTTCCTCTGTCTTGCAGGTATACATGCAAATATGCATAAGTAAATCTTAAAAAAAAAATAAAGTCAACTTTTAAAAATTAGTTTTATACAGAATAGTGTTATACATCTAACTAATAAATCATTCTTTCTGGGTTTTTTGTTTGTTTGTTTGTGTTGGTTTTTATGAGATAGGATCTTAATTATGTCTGTCTGGAACTCACTATGTAGTTAGACTAGGCTGGTCTTGAACTCAGAGATCTGACTGCCTCTGCCTCCCAAGTGCTGGGATTAAAGGTCATTTTTAAAAGATAGGATAGCAAACTCAGAGGTTTGATGCCCAAGGGCTCAATGCAGCCTGGGTCTGGGTGAATGAACCTTCTTGTTATCATTATTTGTTTGTTTGTTTTCAAGACAGGGTTTCTCTGTGTGAATCTTGGAACTCACTCTGTAGACCAGGCTGGTTTAGAACTCACAGAGATTCACCTGTCTCTACCTCCCGAGTGCTGGGATTAAAGGGGAGCCACCAACACCCAGCTTGAACCTTCTTGTTCTTAAGAACCTACACAGTTGTCTATGGTACCAGGCACATTGAGGATGGCTGATAGTGGGAGTGTTCCATGTTTACACCAAGCTTTGTGACTCTACAGGAGTCAAATTGTTGTGGCATTCATAGCACATCTGATATTGATCCTGATCCATTTTTTTGGCAGTGATTTTTGACTAAAGGCAAATAAGGAGAAAGTGACCATTTTCCAGTGGTAAGAGAAAGCCAGTTTATTTTGAGACATTTTCTGACTCTGGTAGCTCAGGCTCAGAACTCACTATATAGCAAAGACTGGCCTCAAATGCACATACATCTTCCTACCTTAGTCTCCCTGTCTGTCTGCCCTACCCCTCCATGTTGGATTGTAGCAATGAGCCACCACCCAGGTAAAAGAAAACCTTTTTTTTTTTTTTTTGTTAACCTAAGGGAGCATTTAGCTATTTTGTGGTTACTTTGACTGACCTAAGTTATATGACATGAAACTTTCTTTTTTTGGTTTCTCTGTATTGCTTTGGAACCTGTCCTGGAACTAGCTTTGTAGATTAGGCTGGTCTAGAACTCACAGAGATCCACCTGCTGGGACTAAAGGTAGGTGCCACCAATGCCACCAATGCCCCGCCAAACTTTTTTTTTTTTTTTGAACATAGATTCATTAAGAAGTCAGAACTCCCAAGAGTAAGAAGGTGAGGACTTATCCTAAAAGGTTTTTTTTTTTTTTTTTTTTTTTTTGGAGACAATGTTTCTCTCTGTAGCCATGGCAGTCCTGAAACTCAACTCACTATGTAGATATACTGCTGGTTTCAAACCTGCTTCTGCCTCCTGAGTGCTGGAATTAAAGGCATGTGACACTACCACCATGTGGAATGTTTTTTTTTTTTTTAAAGTTAGTTCCATAACTCCAGAGGGAGATGCAGGCAGATCTCTGTGAGTTTGAGACCAGCCTGGTCTACAAGAGCTAGTTCCAGGATAGCCTCCAAAGCCACAGAGAAACCCTGTCTTGAAAAACTTTAAAAAAAATTAATTTGAGGTATGCATTTAATATTTACTCTGATCTCTTATAGCTTTAAACAAATTTTTAAGTTAGCATACCAAGTAATATGTATCATTGGGGCATCTTCATATATACTTCGTTAATACATTTTTAAAATTCATCTTCTTCCCTCTTTTCCAGCTTTGAACAACTTCTTGTTGTTGCACAGCTTTGAGAGAGATTAGAAATGGTCCACTTTATTAGTATATTGCATTTGGGGAAACTTTTAAACTAAGAAAGAAAAATGTTCCTTTCTGTAAATAACTAGGCCATAGCAAGACACCCCACCTTATGCACACATCACCACCACTTCCTGTTGAATTCATTACTATTGGCTGTCCAAAGGAAAAGGCAGCACTGTTTTTACTGAACTGGTAAGAGCCGAAGAATCTAGGGGCCCTCTGGGTAGAAATGGGTGCCTGCTGTGGGATAAGCTTTGACAAACACAGTGCAATTGGAAGCTGCTTCCTGTGGCCCATGTGAAACTGCTCTGAGGTAGAAGTTTTCACAGGAATCAGCTGTGAGCTTTTATCAGCAGATGCAATGAACTAG